AGATTTGACGAACTGGTTCTACCGAATAGGTGCGAACTGGTAGGAACCCACCTCTGGTAGAGGGAGTTATAAAACTGGGAAGAGGGTGGGGAAAAGAGCCTTAACATCCATGGTGATAAAAAAAGCTGCAGTTTTGCCATTACAAATAACCCAGAAACATAAAATTAAAATAACTAATAGTGAAGTGAAAAAGGAAATAAAGGAGTGTTAAATGATTTAATGTGATCATATCAACTTTTGCATCGAATTAACTTTTGATCAATTTCCTTAGGAATAAAATCTGGAATAAATGTATAGTTGCTATCATTCCGATGCTGTATCACTCTATCTAAAAGTTAGATGTAATTATCACAGTCTGCTGACTGATTTAATGCCAATCTAGAAGGAGTAATACAAAATTAAATATTAGCTTTTCAGGCTAATATTCAGAATTATGTTAATTATATTAATTCTGAACAGCAATTTTAATTATATTAATTATATTAATTCTGAACAGCAATTTTAATTCTATAGTAATTTCTCTCAATTCTCATTCATTAACTTTAAACCTCCTAGAGTAGCCAATAAAATGATTTCAGTATCATCTCTACAAATAACATAGTTCCAGTATCATTGATTTCAAGTGATGATGGAAAGGTTTAAGGTTTCTTGCTGTACAGAGTAATCGTTTTAATAATCAGTTATCAAAAAAGAAAAAAAAATATGGTCCTTGTTGTCTCCCCCCCCCCCCTCTTTGTGAACATAATTAGTCAGAGCCAATGTCATTTCAATACTAGAGTCACTTGTGCATGGACAAAACTTCCTCCTAGTTTGATCACCCATTCCTATTATACTACAGCTTCAGGAACAAACATATACAGCAACCATCCTTAGCTCTGCTTTCTATATCTAGTTGAATAACTTGATTTTGAAAATGACCAATTGTTTGAGAACAGAGCTATTGCAAATTCTTCAGTTGTCTCTACTATTTTAGCAATGCCCGCAGAAGACACTCTGCATGGATTGACACCTAAAGGCAAGATCTTTAGTTTCCAGTAGCCGTTCCCTAAAGCCCAAGTGACATGGAAAAAAAAAACCCACAAGAAATATTTGTGAAAATGAAAGCTGGAAAATGAAAGAAAAACAAGCAAAGGAATGCAGCCAATCTATTTTCCATCAAAAGATTCACAGAAAAAGAAAAAAGGAGGAGGAAGATGAATACATTCAGAAATAGCTTGCAGAAATCTTTCAACAATGTGAAGTATAATAATAAAATGAGGAAGGGAAAATAAATATTCTACAGTTTGACTTGTTCTGATCCTGTTCCCATTTCTTCTTTAAGTGATTTATTCTATTTATTTATATATAATAAATATATTTATACAACAAATATAGGCCATCTCACTATAGGCCATTCATGCACCTAATTTAATTTGTAGGTTATGTTGATAAGCAAAGACAACTCAGTGGCTAAGACGCTGAGCTTGTCGATCAGAAAGGTCGGCAGTTCAGCGGTTCAAATCCCTAGCGCCGCATAACAGAGTGAGCTCCCATTATTGGTCCTAGTTTCTGCCAACCTAGCAGTTCGAAAGCCGTAAAAAATGCAAGTAGAAAAAGAGGGGCCCCCTTTGGTGGAAAGGTAAGAGTGTTCCTTGCGCCTTAAGTATTTAGTCATACCAGCCACATGGCCATAGAGACGTTTTCAGACAGCACTGGCTCTTCGGCTTTGAAACGGAGATGAGCACTGCCCCCTAGAGTCGGGAACGACTAGTACATATGTGCGTGGAGAACCTTTACCTTTTATACTGTTTCTAGTATACTTG